CCCTCTCAATACACTACTCTTCCTTCGCAGGACACCGAGGACCAGGACGACGCTAAGGGGGGGGGAATGTAGCGAGCCATGTAATACCACGTCGCCCTGGGCACAAATCCACACCAGCTGGATCTCCCATCAACCTCGGATCGCTCACAGCTGGACCTCATCAGCCAGGGAGAGATATAAGCCAGCCCCACGCAGGAGGAAGTGAGCTTCATTTCAGATGACTCCCTGCGCTAACGCTTGTCTCTCTCTGTCTCTCCCACAGCCGAATCCAGCTCGTGACCGATCCAACACCATCCCTCTCACCAGTCTTCACCTTCTCCCCGGAGCACCTGAGCACGCACCTCTAAGAAGAGCACTCATTCACCCCTTTATCACTTGTAAATAAAAGCACCCTCCGGGGCATTGTTTGTAACTTCATCTACGGTGTTTGTGTTTTCCCTCTGCCTCGCTACACTATGTAGACTTAACTAAGTTTTTTGTCATGTGTTCACCTCTACTATAGAGTTAACTACAAACCCAAAGTACAGTGTGTAACTTTTTTTTTTGTTTTTTCTACCTCTACCACACTCCTCCCTGTCTCTGCCAGGCCTACAGTAGCATCTTTTCTCACAGCACTGGTATTAACAACACCCTTGTTAATAAACACAGTATAGGATGTAAAGATTGGAGCAAAATGTTACTGACTGCTCTTAACATTTGGCTCTTAACATGTGAATACCAGGGTTTCTGCAGGTTTCTTCAAATCAAATTTAAAACATTTCAAGAACCTTTTAAGACCATTATGAATAAATTTAGACTTATACAGGGCTAAACAAAAAGGATTTTTTCTAATGGTCTGGTAACTTTGGTAAATAGTTTTTGTATTAATGGAAGAGCATGTAAAGGGATGTGTTGCTTTATTTTTCCTTCCATGATTAGGGAATTTAATTTGGAGGATTTGCTGAAAATAATGTAACAGCTGTTATAAACTGAATCTCTTTGCAATAAAAAAACTGATTTGGCCAGATTGGGTAGCTTTACTTGGATAGAGGGAAATTAAGAACTGTTTAAAATGATTTAAGACCTACAACACAATATTTCAGTGAACTTAAGACTATTTAAGGCCTAATATTTTGTTTTTTATTTAATTTAAGACATTTTAAGACTTTTTAGGACCCTGCGGAAACCCTGTATACAAATTAATACAATTAAGTAATAACAGTAGCACCAAAAGGAATAGAATATAAAAACAAAAAAGCAGCAATATTTGTGTGTACCAGCAGATTTGTACATTTTTAATCCTTCATGATATATAGTTATATGTGAAATCATGCTGAAGTATTGCTACTGCTGCATCTCCATTTGAGTGTAAAAGGTGTGTGTGTGTGTGTGTGTGTGTGTGTGTGTGTGTGATACACATTCACAGGCTCCTATCATAAGGGTTAATTTATTTTTAAATAGAGCCACAGTGTTAAAAGGGCTCACATGAGCTTCTATTTTGAAGTGTTTCTGGCAATCAGTGATCTCTTGATCTCTCGATGATCTCTTGATGATCTCTCAGTGATCTGTTGATTGTACATGGAAGTGTTTTAGTATCTTTATTTGTATAAGGTTTTTCTGATTACTTAATTTGTTTATTTTAATTTGTTGTAGACCACACCAACCCACAATGATACCCAAAGTGATTGTTAGCACTTGCATACTCAGTACTTGTTGGAAACTCTGTGGAAAGAATAAAGAGTCACAATAATTCTGGATAGATTGAATCTCATTTTCCCTGACAATAATATGATTATGTACTGTAACCTTTGCATGTGTTTAATGTATTATATTATAAAGACTAGCTATGTATTCAGAGTTTACTACAAATTCATACAGTACTGTGGCTATAGCTTTAGGTTCTTTTGCATGTTAGAATATATTCCTAGTAGCATACAGCAGTCTGTATACCCGAAATTACGTTATCTGCTGATAATGACATATTAAAATGTACGGGAGTTCTACGCTAAGCTTACAACTGTTAAACACAATGTACGTCACTGTCACAAACTGTCAGAAGTAGCGTGAATGGCGAGACATTTACTTGGTATGTTTTAGTATAATGACTTTTAATGACTACATTTTCTGTTTTCTTACCTCCTCCACCGCGCTACTGTCCTCCGACACAGCAGCCGAATGTTCGAGAATATTTCAGTAACTTTATGCATTTGGCAGCGTCTGATTTTAGAGCCCTTTTTTGCACTCTTTCTCTGAGTTTCTCGGCACCGCTTTTTCTTTTTACGGTACATCTCTGACAATTAGCTTGTGTGGCACTTATTGTTTGTTTTACATTCTTGCTAGATTTTAATTACATCCGCGTAACCTTAAATTGGGTCGGCCCCTCTCGAAACCAGCCGGCCGTCGCCGATTGGACCAAATGCTCAACATTTATTATTATTATTATTACTATTATTATCATAATATCACTTATGATTCCTTCGATATGATGCAGAATTATATGACTTAAAATTACTTGAATTAAATGACGTAAAAACTTAAAATTGGCAGAGTGTGTGTTGCGAATAAAGTGTTTATTAAATAAAGAGTCAGGTGTCTTTAAGCTTTGGAAAATGGCTCATACAAAAGGACGAGAACGTAAATGCTTTTTACAAGTAGCAATTAAAAAGTGATAATGGGAAGAATTCAAACCAGCAGAGCAGGGCTGGGATGGGGAGAGCCAACACAGTTTTGGTCAAAGCCACAAGGGAGCACAAAAAAAGTTATGGTGGTAAAGGAGGTTTCCTGAGTGGAGCAGGACTGCTACTTTATAAAGGCTGTTGCACAGGGCAAGCAAGGAGCATGGACCTGCAGGGAGGATGTCTTGAACAGGGCCATATCCTGGGCAGATATTTGGCGAACTACGCAGTCACGCCTGAGTTTTCTCGTAAGAGCAGCATACGATACCCTCCCCTGCCCCCGTAACCTTTCCCAATGATTTAGATCTGAAGACAAATGCCCCCAATGCGATAAAGCCAATGCAGGCCTGCAACCTATCCTGTCAGGATGCAACGTTGCACTGGCGCAGGGCCGTTTTAGATGACGGCACAACCAGGTGATAAGAAAGCTGGCAGAGCATCTTGAAAAATGCAGAGTACAAGCAAACGCAACATCAGCATGTCCTCTGCCAAATATTAGGTTCCTCAGACCAGGAGAAGGGGGGCATATCACAGGTACAGAGAGAACAAGGTGCCTGCTCATGCCTGGAAAGAGGTGGGAGATGCGCGTTGACTTGGACTCTCAGCTTATCTTTCACTCGGAGATCACACAAACAACTCTAAGACCAGACGCAGTGATTTGGTCAGCAGCGGCTAAGAAGGTTCTGGTGATTGAGCTGACTGTGCCATGGGAGGAGGAAATGGCAGCGGCGCAAGTACTCAGAATTAGCAGCAGAATGCAGAGTCAAGGGTTGGACGGGTACAAACAAAAATATAATTCATATATGTTTCTTGGAAAATAAAAATAAAAAATCTTTTTAAAAGGAATTTCGTCAGCTATAATTTGTATCTTAATTGTTGTGTATTTTTCGTTGGCCAGTTAACTACTAGATAAAAAGAATAACGAACAACTCTCGAAGTGAAGTTCTTTAAAACAAGTCCACTATAGGCCTATGCTTCAGTGCCAAAGCACGAGTTGCCGTGAGATTGTGTTGGTTTGGTAAAAAAATAATCTTGCCTAAATAAAATTTAAGTTAAATATTCACAGTTTCAGAGAAGCCTATATTAAACTGTTAATATTATGACACATTTGAATAAGCAGGACAGGCTTTTAATAGAACAAACTCTGTTGGAAAGATGAGAGCAGTGGCGCCTGCAGCCGTACGGCTGTATATTGTGCGTACCAACCATGAGAGGGTGCAAATTAATGCCGCCTATTTATTTATTAAATAATGTAAATTGATTATTAAACAGTATACACTACAATATATTGAAAAAGTAAGAAAGAATAAGAATAAAAAGGTGGGTTTTAAAGTGTGTATGCATAGTGGGAGATGTAAAAAAAAAAGATATATATATATAATACAGATGAATTAAAATATTTTCTTTAAAGTTATTTTCTGGATTTTCTTTTTGATATTCTGTCTCTCCATGTTAGAATACGTCTACCATTAAAAGTACAGAATGATCATGTCTTTATTAGTGGGCAAACCAACAAAATCAGCAAGGGATCAAATACTTTTTACTCTCACTGTATATCTGTTTGTAGGTGCCGCTGCAATTTCAGACTGATAAACCTTACCTCGTTTACTCAAGTTTATTGAACACAAGTGAAGATATTTTGAAGAATGCTGCTAGCTGGCACTCATGGACTTCTAGTAGCAAAGACAACACTATAGATGTCAATGAGTGCAGCATTCTTCAACATATTTTCACTTGAGTAAAGGATGGCAGATCTTTCATTGTTGGGAGAACTGGGAACACTAGCTAGTTCACTTCACTTATTAGCTAATATTTGAGTGTACTGTGCTGTGTGAATGTAACTCTAGCACAAACTGAAGCATAAGTGTGTTTCCATTACAGTTTCCACAAAACTTTCACAATATTTTTTGAGTGTTGTTAAAAACTGTTGTGAAATGAAGACATTTCCATTCTAACCATTGTTCTGTGGCTAAAGCTCAACATTTGCTGGTCAGAAATTGGGAAATCCCTGGCGCTAGTTCAGTGGATATTACAGTAGGATTACTCAAATCACAGTCAACACGCTCTTATATTTCACATTATAGTCACACAAATGGCAGGGCAATGTGCTTTAAACATTACAGGATGCATCAATATTGTTCTATAAAGGCTAAATTGAGTCTGCAGTGTGTAAAACAGATCTTCTCTGTGTTGTTTTGTGTTGTGTTCACACTTATTGTCAGATCAACACACAGATGAAGTAGTTCAGGCATGTTTTGAGTGCATTACAGTCCCGTATCACTACGCTGAAGGATTTGACTTCTGTTAATGCAAGGAGCCGGTGTGATGAACAAAGAGCAGGAGTCAGAGATACAATTTATTGAAGACAATAGTTTACAGTTTGATCAGAAAACAGCTTCAACACACTCCATGGGGTTCGCAGGCCGCTCTGCGTACAGTCTCAATTTCACAGAAATGATAGGAAGAGCAGCACACATGTGGTCAGTGACCAAATCAGATCATCAGGAATTCATACTTCCATAGTTTTCTGACATGATGCTGTTTTCTGCTTCTGCTTCCCACATTGTGCACTTCCTCCTGCGAGTGTCGCTGTCAGAGCTGCATGCAAATGAGGGCCGGCTGAAGCCTCCCTATTGGCCTATTAGCTCTAGATTGACAGCTTCCTTCTCCAGCCAATCAGGCGAGGAGAAAAGCTGACGTCACTCTAATGACGGCCAATGCGCACAGGCGAGGACAGAGAAGTGTATAATAATTAACAATCGCTCTTAAATAACAATCTGCAGTGATCACACAACAGTGACAGAGAAGAAGAAAGAGGAGAAACTAAATAAACCAAACACAAAGCAAAAAAAAAACCTTACTTAACCCATAACCCAACCATAACCCAACCCTAACCAAACCCTAACCATAACCTAACCCAACGATTACCCTAACAAACACCCTAACCATATCCTAACCCTAACCTAAGTCTAAAAACAAAAAATCAAGTGTTTAAGAAAGAAAGAAAGAAAGAAAGAAAGAAAGAAAGAAAGAGGTGAGGTTTGTCCTCATTAGTAAAGATGATTACTCCTCTATGTTGTGCATGTCTAACTCTAAACCCTAACCCTGACTGATTATACTTCATTAACGAACACGTTTAACTATCAAACCTTTAACTATCACTAACTTACTCCAATATTTACTGATGTTTCATCAATGAGGACCAAAGATTTTCTCCAAACAAGCACGCACATTATCTAAAGAACACAAGCAAAAATAAGCTAAACATCATCAATAATAAGCTTATTAATATCAATAAACATCTATTAAAGTCATACTCTAAACTACACTTGTGTCCATAACCAATATCTAAATATCCCAGTCTTGACTAAACCGCTGTTATTTAGCAAACGCTGCTGTTCAAAATGTCTCCATTAAACTCCTTCAGCTACTGGTTTAAGTTAAAGCTCATTTGCAGAAATCCAGCGCTCGCTTGGAGAACAAGTGAGAAGAAGAAGAAAGCAGAAAGGTGTGAGCAGCAGCACTAGAAATAATCCTCATCAGATCTGAGAAATCCACCGCTGGGCTAAAATATGTCTGTGGCAGGAGGCTCTTATATCTAGCGTATTCGCCCATATAATCCTGCCCCGCCAGCGCCATCTACACCACCCCATCCTATCTCTGTTAAAGAGAAAACGCCTTCAAAACCGGCCCACGACGCCCCTGTTATATGCGCTTATCTCACTTAAACCTGCCTAAAGTCCCGTTAGAGCTACGACCACTGTCTAAACTAGGCTTTCTGTCTTTATAAAGTATTGACGCACTACAGTAATGATATGCAGACTTTATCTTTTACGATTACTCCTACAGCTAGAGAAATAAAGCACACCAGTATGCTAATAAATCCAGCAGTTTGATTGATTAATCTGTGACTATTTCCCTTAATATGACTATTTACTCTACAGTCAGTGCTAACCCAGTTCAAATAAAACACTACGTCCTGTCTAAACGTCAATCAACCTGCTTTCCTTATTTCAAACTATTAATGCTGTCCTGCCGCAGACACATTCTACCCCAGCTGAGGATTAGCGCTAACACTCAATCTCCGGCGTCGCCTGTGCGCATCGGCCGCCATTAGAGTGACATCAGCTTCCTTCCTCACCAGATTGGCTGGAGGAGGAGCTGTCAGTCTAGAGCTTATGGACGAATGGAGACGCTTCAACCGGCCCTCATTTACATGCAGCTCTGACTGCATCCCTCGCAGGAGGAAGTGCAGAATTTGGGAAGCAGAAGCGGAAAACAACAAATGACAAACGTCAAACATGGAAGAATGAAACCGTTTCCTGCTGCTGATGGCCTCTACGTCATGCTGAACCACTCGTGCTCTAAAATCTCCTCTAAAACAGGTCCTGTTTCAGGGTGGAAACTGTATAACCGCCTCAACAGATCCTGGCACTCTGTGGAAATATTAAAGAGAGAACATGTTAGTCATGGATGCTCTCGATGATGATACAACACAGAGATTTATTCAGTGGTCTGGTGAAATTCTTGATTCTGATTGGCTGGAATGAAATCATTAAATCCAGTTTCAGTCAGTTATAATCAGTTCTAGATGAATGCGCCACATGCAAACATTAGCCATAACCATTTCATTGGATGTGTGCTTTATCTGGAGGCAATGGGGATCAACCAAGTCACAAATACGGTCAGAAATGGATGAGGTAGCTAACACACGTTACTATGAGCTATAATATCAAACACACGACCAAATCGTAACAGACGGAGATTCAGTCAAATCTCCTGCAAAAGTACTTTAACTTGTCTATGAAAATGACCATGGAATAAGTGGGATTATCAATGGATTACTGTTTGCTTTTGCTTCTGCATTTAAAATCCATGCGGCAATCTACTGACCATACATTACTTGTTTAAAAAAAGATTTGAAATTTAAAGTGAGAGCTTTTATTTAGAGCCATGATGACATATGGAGGCAGTAATGTCCAGCTGTTTCCTGTCCAACTGTTATACATATTATCCTAATAACACATGTTAAGTTTGACGAATACGGCAGGGTTGTACACTAAAGCTGTATTCCATTGTATTTCATAGACAGACATAGAGTTCTGAATGAGTGAAATCAGCTCAACACACCTGTTTACTGTGGTACAAACCACTTTTGTAAAAGTACATTATTTCATGTATTAAATAAATAAAACGCCACTTTTCTCATTCAAAATATGAACATATTAAAGCCGTAGAGGCTAATTTACATATTTCACAATCATATTATAAGTGGAAATAAGAAATGCAACACATGATGTTTACTCTGATGTCACTCAATATTAAAGTGAGTGCGCACACTGAGCGCTTCTGTCACCGTTTAACTCTGTGCATGACGGTACGCTTTAATGACATATGCACTGTGATGAGCTTTATATTTAGAGTTAATTGTGAAATAAACATAGTAAACTGTTTGTTAAGAGTTACACGTTTACTGGAGGAAACAGCTGTGATGATGAGAGGAGCGTTGAGGAAACTGTAGATACATGGGAAACCGACTGCTCCTCCATGACCCATTGGGGTACAAGTGATACAAGTGTTTCTACAGCAAAGAACTGCAAATATGCAGATATTATACCAATCTATTGATAAACACAGCTTCTGCTCTCACTCCACACGGCTGTGCTTTACTGATTAAATGACTAATTAGTTGAAAACAGAAGAGCTGAAGTTTGCTGCCGCTTTCTTATCAAATTTAAAGGGGACTGAGCTGATAATATAGTAGTGAAACATTTAGTGGGGCTGAGTGAAAATAAGTGGCCCAGCGGCACCCATGAGCTGCACCATGTGTAGTGTTGTTTTCTCACCTGCTGACAAACTGGGGTTAAATTGTGGACTTCCATCTCTGGAGAAACAGCCATATCCGTTGACCATGTATGACAGCATTCGTCTAACAGCCCAGACATGCGCTTTAACAGCAGAAAAAATATAGCTGAAGGGTTCCCCCTCCTTTTTACGGTATCTCGTTACTCCTGCAAGTGAGAGATTTTCATGTTAGTAATTCACAATATCTTTGCCTTCCTGACATCAGCATACATGCACAGGAGGTTACAGATGAAGGGTCAGTTCACCCAAAAATGTCATTCTGTTATTAATAACTCAGCCTAAACCCCTGAGACCTTCATTCAGCTTCTGAACACAAATGAAGATGTTTTAGAAGAAACGCGAGAGCTCTCCGACCATATATGCCTTCAGTGGTTCAACTGGAAATCATGACTTTATTGAACAGTTTCTTGTCCTCAGTGTCAGTATATTGCGCACTCTCAGAAGAGCTCTGTGCAGTGACGTACACCGCTGATGTCCTCCTCTGATTGGAAGAAAGCACAGGCACATCCGAGATGATACATCAGCAGTGCAACTGAGAGCAACATGCGTGAAGGCCTCAGAGCTCTCCTGAACGTGCGCAATATACTGACACTGAGGATGAGAACCTGTTCAATAAAGACGTTATTTTGGCTTTATGTGGAAATAAAAGTATTATCAGAGTCTGATAATGCTCTGATTGATCCACTGAAGTCATATGGTCTGTTTTGAGGATGTTTTGGGTCCATTTATAAACCCTTGCTGTCTATGGAGACTCAAAGAGCTCTCAGATTTCATCTAAAATGTCTTAATTTGTGTTCAGGGGTTCAGGACGACATGAGAATTTTTCATTACTAAAGCTATCTTCATATGTGTGAACTTTCCCTTTAATAAGCAGCACTAAAAAGCCAACTCACCCAGAGTGGGGCATCTCCAGCAGCCTTTTGAAACATAAAAACTGTAGCCAAAATCAATCAGCTTGAGCTCCAGGGTCTTTGGATTGACCAGGATGTTTTCTAGATTCATGGACCCATGGAATATGCCATGCTCAATGCAGTGCTGTGCAGCAATAATGAGCTGCACGATCAGCTGCCGGGCAACACTCTCACTCAGGCAGCCATTGTTCTCCGTGATGAACTTCCCCAAGGTTATGTACGAGGACGCGTACTCCATGACCAGGTAGTTATTCCTTCCCTCCATGGCGTACTCGTACAGCTCTATGATGTACGGGCAGAGCGGAGGTTTCTTGAGGATCATCATATGACGTGCTTCTGGGATCACATATGTAGAATATCCATCCTAGAGAAAAATCAAGTCAGGAAAAGGTTAGATGTGAGTGTCTCATATATTTATGGCATTGTAATGTGTCAATAGCTGTGTTTCCATCCAAAGATGCTGATTAAACTCATGTGCAAAACTGGCAGATCATATAAAAGAATCAAGCAGCGTTTCCATCAATGAGTCCAAGAGAATTAAATCATCACTGAATTATAAACTGGCGTCAAATATCAGTCAGAGAAATGAGTTTCGCCACAGAAGACCAAGACCAAACACAATGAGCGCGGTAAATGCGGTGTCTTTTAGAGACGGGAGCGCAGACAGATGCTCAAGACAGTTCTGGAGGGAATAACAGAAGAAGAAGAAGAATACTGAAGCACTGTGATGACGGACAGAGGCTAGAGATGGGTACCGAAACTCTGTACATTATCAGTATCGCAGCTAAATTATAAAAGATCGAAGTATAGGAACGCTCTGACGTTAACGGTTCTGCTATCGGTTCTGGAGAATTATTGCTGAGTAAACATTACTAACAGTAGAATAATTAACTGACCAACCTTTTCTAATTTGTGATATTCGTCTGCACAGTGGGAAATCTCACATGAGGAATGCTCATGTTTCTGCCCAATAGTACAACGGCGAGTGCGTCAAGTATAAAAGCCTTCACAGTTCTCGGCTGTGCATTCTTTTACAGGAAAATCTGTATTTATTTGTTTTACATTTATTGGTTTTGCTTTATTTTGCATAAATGTAATAATAAAATTAAGTGTTGTTAATTCTGTTCAATTGTTTTTTTCCTAAAAATAATAAGATTTATAAGAGAACAGTTAAAGTACTAAACTAATAAGTGTTATCAATAAAAGTAGTAATACCAATAAAACCTTAACGATATCATCCCTAGCAGAGGCCATCTACAATCAACATTTCAAATCTGACACACTGGAGAGCTGCAGACCAACATTAATGACACAAAGACCCTGAACACACATTGATATCATCACATGACCTCCTCTGACACAATCACATGACTTGTTTAATCTCCATGCTAGTGTTTATCAGGTAAAAATGCTCCTGATGCAGTTGATGTACTTTTTTTCTTCTGGAATAAAGTTTATCCTAGTAAGTTATGCGCATGACAACATGTTTGTGCATCTTGGTGTTTTCAGCATTGTTATTGTGAGAATCATAAATGTGCATGAAACAGGTGGATGGAAACAGAGCTATGTTCACATATTAACTCAAACTCAACACTACATGTGACCCTGGACCACTACACCAGTCTTTTGTCATGCGGGTTTATTTTTAGGAAAACTCTAAATTCTGACTTTAATTAAAGATTTAGTTTCAGTATATATTTGTGCATTACCTATCAGTGTAGTATTATTATCATATGTAGTTTACATGGAAATGTGCAGGACTTAGTTTAAGTTATTAACTTTAAAGCTGATTTTCTCAATATTCAGATGTTTTTCACCTTCCAGATGGTCAAACAGCCGCATCTCCATCAAATATTGTTCTAACAAAGCAAACATTATTGAAAAGCTTCTTTACTGATCTTTCAGATGATCCACAAATCTCAGTTTCAGACATTATGACTGGTTTTGTGCTCCGCAGTTCATCTGCAAAAGCTGATAACCCCCATTATTAGAAATGTCCAGAAACTCTTTAATATTCAGTCAAAACAGGATTTCTGGAAATGACTAAACACGTCCAGTTTCAGTCTTTTCCATAAAGCGTGTTGTTTACACTTGCACCCTTCAATACACAACATAAAAACATGACTAAACATGGAGTTCATCACTTCTCTTCAGATATTTGAATGCAAACTTACCACGTGGTACAACTCTCCATAATAATCCTTAATCACAATTTTTATGGCAACCTGCAAAGAAAGCATAAAGTCAAAACTTTTTCAACCAGAGAGATGTCTGATCACACACACGCACAAACACACACATCCATACACACACGCACACACACACACACACACACAAACACACAAATGAAGTGAATGTTACCTTCTGGCCGTCAGATTTCCGTGTAGCCAAATAGACAGTGCCATGGCGTCCCTCTCCCAGCTTCTCTCCAAGCACATATCTGTCAAGTAAAGATCCTGGAGAGAAATACATCACATTTATGACATTGGTCACTCCTGTGACTCTTCTGCTCTAATCTAATAGTGAGAAAATTCTGTTAAACTCTGAAAAATAATACAAAACCCTGCAGATTAGACAGAAAACATTATGACAGAAGACGAACCTGAGCTGCTGTCTTTAACTGAACTGCTGTCTTCAGCTGATCTGCTGTCTTCAACTGATCTGCTGCCTTCAACTGATCTGCTGTCTTCAACTGATCTGCTGTCTTCAACTGATCTGCTGTCTTTAGCTGATCTGCTGTCTTCAACTGATCTGCTGTCTTCAACTGATCTGCTGTCTTCAACTGATCTGCTGTCTTCAACTGATCTGCTGTCTTCAGCTGAGCTGCTGTCTTCAGCTGATCTGCTGTCTTCAACTGATCTGCTGTCTTTAGCTGATCTGCTGTCTTCAACTGATCTGCTGTCTTCAACTGATCTGCTGTCTTTAGCTGATCTGCTGTCTTCAGCTGAGCTGCTGTCTTCAGCTGAGCTGCTGTCTTCAGCTGATCTGCTGTCTTCAACTGATCTGCTGTCTTTAGCTGATCTGCTGTCTTCAACTGATCTGCTGTCTTCAGCTGAGCTGCTGTCTTCAGCTGAGCTGCTGTCTTCAGCTGAGCTGCTGTCTTCAACTGAGCTGCTGTTTTCTGCTGCAGTTTTCCCACTGCTGCTGCCGCCATGTTGGATCTGTGCTGTTTTCATTCGTTTTGCAGCAACTGTGTCCTGATTTCTGCTGTCCTGATCCAGAAATCCAGCCTTTCTCTTCTGTCCTCTTGGAACTTCTGTGGATTACAGTCAATAATGAATTATTAATAATCGGTTATTTCAATATTGGCATTTATTTTACTCTGGGATTTAACAAATGGCAGCAGTGCTCCAGTTTTCCAGTATTTCTCCAGTCATAAAGAGTGGACTGACCTGAGCTGGACGCCTCTGTGTCGGCATCTACACTTGTGTTCTCCTGCTCTGCAACTCTGATGCGTTTCCGGCGGGCAGATGGTTTGCCTCCACCAGAAACACTCTGAAAAGCATCATCTGCTTTCCGCTTCTCTCCTCTTCCTCCTAATGTGGATGACAACACAATGAACAATACACTCTTCAATTAATCAATCATGTTTTATTATTTCATGGCAGATTTCTGTTGTGCTATCTGAGGATTCAAAAATCTAAATATGGAGAAAATCACATTTAAGAGATTAAAAGATCATTGAAACAATAAAATAACCTGAATTAATTCACTGCATTAGCGGATTAGAGCGCACATTCATAGTTTTCTTAGTTTAGTTTATTTTTCATAGTTTAGTTCCTGTGACTAAAATAACTCAAAACAAATGTTCAGATAATATGACAGCTTGAAAAATTAAAATAAAACCAACATCACAGAAGAGTTTTGATCAAATCGTGAATCAGGATATCCCTTAAAATATTGTGATATCATCATATATGTCCATATGGCGCCCCTACAGCTTCCTAAAGCACACTGACCTGAGCTGCTGTCTTCTGCTGCAGTTTTCCCGCCACTGCTGCTGCCGCCATGTTGGATCTGTGCTGTTTTCACTCGTTTTGCAGCAGCTGTGTTCTGATCCAGACATCTAGCCTTCCTCTTCTGTGCTCTTGGAGCTTCTGTGGATTATAGTCAACAATGCATTATTAATGCTCAGTTCTTTCATTGATTGGCATTTATTGTATTTGGGGATCTGTTCAAATGGCAGCAGTGCTACTAGTTTCCAGATGTTTTGTCATGAAGCACTACTGAGAAATACTTTGCACAATACTGCATCGTTCACAGTTTTAAAGGCACAATATATGCATTATGGGATAGAGTAGCGTCCACTGGATGCCCACTTCCGAATCTCTCCAGTAGTAGTAGGTC